TCAATTTATGCACCTTCAACCTTACGTCTGTTTTTCATGCGGGCGCAAATTTTTCGCACATTGTTATTGTTTGCTGAATATGCACTTTAACGTGCCATTTAATTTTAGACCAGTGTGGACAGTTCGATGAGTATCTTTTCTGTCGGCGTGGATCCTGTGCTCAACAATAATAGTAGTCGACATCCCTCCAAGCTCGATTCTCCGCATCGTCGTACGCTTTCTGATTTCTCTGGTAGTTCTGTAGCAGCGCGTGAACAGGTATGTAGTGTCTGTCTTGGGTAATACAAATGCTTGCTATACGTCTTCGAGGGTTCGATTTCTATTTCACTATACAGGGGGCACGAGATATTAGTGGAGGTGCAGGAGAGGCAGAAACATTGGACTCGCTTTAATGAGGAAAAGGCATCGCACGAGATGTCCAAAGACGCCACGTCGTAGGGGCTCTATTGCGATTTCTCGCCGTTCGTGTTCGGGTGTATCCCTGTCGTATCACTACAAAACCCAATTGCGTGCAATATAAGTCCCCGACCACTCATATCTCTCCATTGTGTGCTGTGCTGCTCGCGCCGACTGCCATGCGGGTCTTCATCCACAGTCCCCGGCACAAACCCTCAAAAGGAAGCAAGCCATTTCCGTGCTTAATTACTACAGCTTCTACGACAGTGCCAGGCAGCACCAGGGCAGAGAAGGCTACCATGAAAAGCCTACGCACACACTCGACGCCTTACACGATGCGCCCATCTCGTGCATTAAGTTTTCGCGTGTTGCACCGTCGTCGGCTGAGACCAAAAGTCGGCGCCGAGCCCAACCTAGCGACAACAACATGCACAGTAATAGTAGTAGTAGTTACAACAATACTGCCGCATACAGTACAGGCACCCAGAGACCGCAGCCAAGCGCAAGAGGGGAGGACGCACACGGCCCATGTGAGAGTGAGTACACGCTGGCAGTCGCCGCCATGAACGGCAAGATAAGCATTGTGCGTGTGGCAAGTGGTGCGAGAACGTGCGAGCTTCTGCACACGCTGGAAGGGCATTCACAAGGGGTCACAGACCTCGCATGGCTGATTACAGGCGAGCTTCTTGTGTCTGTGTCGCTCGACAAGACGTTTAGGGTGTGGCAGGTGGACACGGGGAACACACTGACTACAGTCAAGGTGGGCGAACCTGTGTTGACGTGTGCACTGAATCCGATCAACAACAACTGGCTGGTGCTGGGAACGGCCATGGGGTCAGTGCGGACGTACAACTGCTCACTGGGCAAGCCGGTCAGAGGTGGCAAGATGGATAGCTCACAGGGAATCAATGGTGACATCCGGTGTCTGTGCTTTAATGAATCGGGTGCGTCCGTTTGCATGGCTGTCAGTGTGTACTTTTGGATCTTTTAGTGAATAGAATTCAATCACCTTTCATGAATGACCATTTTTAGACTACTTCTCTTGTCGGTGCATGTTTGTTATTATCACAGTCGAGTGTTGCCTTTTTCGGGTGTGTGATCACAAGCAGCAATGCGACACTACAACGCTTATACAGCGTCATCGAGATTGCTATGCAACTACAGGCTGACATTCGCATCCTGGAGAGACCGGCCAGCTAGCGACCTCTCGAGGTCCAGGCTAATAGGTGGTTACTGAGTGGACAGATTGAAACCACGCGCTCGTATTTATTTAAATAATTTGTGATAGGAAGATCAGCCAGAGCCTTGCGTTGGTGGCGTTAAACGTCACCTTCTCCCCATGAGCTTTTTATCCATCCACATGGCTTTTCTCCCGCACATTCGATGTCGAGTATCGCTTAAGATGCCAAAATCAGCATTATAACTTCACACCTGAAGACAATTACCATCTTAAACCCGCATAAGATCCTCTTATTCGTATACACATTTCAGATACATTCTCATGTACATGTGCACTACAAGACTACGAGACAACTAACATCCATCTTACGCGCTCAACCTAAGTCCTCATGTGCATTCACATTCCAGGTACCATCGTGTGGTCGGGCAGTAGCAATGGGGTGGTGCACGCGTTCGGCTTCGACCCATTCACAGGCGCTATGACCGCCCTTATGCGCGTTATCATCGCCGAGAAAACAGCAATCACATCCATGTCTTACACTCCGGCATGGAGGTTACGTCCCTACTCCACCAAGGACACGCCAGCTCCCATGCTGTTGCTGAGTGTGAGTAATAACACAGCTGTATTGCTGCATGTGATGGATGAGAAGGCTGGGTTGGTCAAGCAGAAGCGCTCGTTCGCTGTGGCGCATACGTCGGTTTCGGTGAAGGCCGGCAGTATCTTCTGCAACCAGCAACAAGGGACCGGTGGTGCTGATAGTGCTGGTACGTGGCCGTGCGTCTGGATTCGAACCAGAGTGCTATACGAACAAGTGATGTTCTCGCTTCATATCTAGATTCATCTATCTGCATGTATACTTGTGAAGATATATATTTTGATTACGTTTGTTTGACCTGCTTCGTGTATGCGTTATTGGTCTACTCACTGATTTGTTCCGCGCATATAACAACAGTGTCGATTGTCTGTTTTAGTACATGTGCATTGCACTAGGTTAGCGGGAACTACTCTGATTACGTACAATACCTTTAGATCATCTACACATGGTGCTCGTTCCAAAAACCGACCCAAACGCAGAGCCTAGACGTGCATCCACCTTGTATCAGTCCTTATTTCAATATCATATGAAGAAACTAGACCGGTTCACAATTGACGGAATCCAATACCATCATTCACCGTCCCACACTCTGATTTTAAATATGTGCGATTTGCACAGAACACGTCGAAAATTTGCACCTCGCATAGAGCACTATACTTCACCAACGATCTTCTTCGCTTCATGCTTTTAGATATGTATAGTATGTATATTTTCGTCCCGTATAGTTCACCAACGTTCACCAATTATCTCCTGTTAAATGCAGACCTCCCCGGCTCCGGCGCGTGTATAGCTAGTGGCAGTGAAACGGGACAGGTGTACATATTCGACACCGCTTCGAAGAGGACGGTCTGTACACTAGGCGTGAATGATGGTGTTGCTGCGCAGGTGGTGGGATGGAACAGGGACCAAACAGTTCTCGCAATGGGTGAGTTGTGACCCTTCTTGAACTTGCTTGTGGGTTGTACGTACGTGGCGTGCAGGGGGTTTACTGATTATTTATCAGAGGTTATGTTGAGTACTGATGTATCCGCGGCTGTACACCCAGGCATGTTCCGTACAAGCAAACATACAGTCACTATCGAGCTGAACAGTTGCTCTATACTGTGCCTTGTTCTGGCTGGATACGCAGAAAACGCTTTTAGCTGCAACTACATAGGCTCGCCGCTATTATACGTTACTATCCTTCGTCTGGTCATACATTAACTAAATTACAATTTATGGGGCTGATTATCGACAGAGTTCTTAAATTTCTATAAAGAGTTAGCTTTAGTCATATTTGCTCCATCGACACCGGTTCGCTATAGTTTAGCCGACTACTGTATTCCGGGTTACCATAACTGAGGAAAATCACATTGCACTGGGCATACAGACAGACAGGAAAGCTCTTGGAATGTGAGTTTTTTTGGGGGAGAAACTTCAGTCATATATACTTCGTCGGAGACTTTTTCATAGAGTGCAACCTCATGCATCCCTCTCTTTCACTTGTTGCACCACAGGAAATGCCAAGGGGGCCGTAATGTTCTGGTATCGCACGGGAGTGGCATCATAGCAGACGAAGTAGCGGTGGTCAGGCTACACCGCGCAGCAGAGAAATGTCCTGACTATAGGTACCGTACATCTGTACTTGTGAAGCGTTGCTAAATAATTGCATTTGCATGCTACACAACCTTTTGAGTCTTGGGAGGCGGGCTGTACCACAGTAAAATATACCTGGTGGACAGCGACACTTGTAAGGGTGTAAGGTGGACAGTGATATCTGACAGGATGTAAAGTCGAGTGCATATACGGTGGGATATATGAGTTTACGACAGTCCCATCCATTATCCAGCGATCAACTCCCGGAAACAATAGTCTCAACCTTCTGGTAAGTTTGAGTATTTATATAGTGCCGGGAGATAGGAGATGCGGAATCCGACCCAGACGTCACCTCAGCAACGCCTAGTGTACCACGTATAGGATTTCAACTATACTTCGGATGTTTGTATACGAATAGTATGCGGCGGGTGTATCCCTTACTTAATGTTATACACTACCTTAATCTGCTGATGAAAGTTTGTATAAAGGAGTTCTAGGAGAGACATTCTTAATATAACTGGGTAGGTGCGTATTCCTGGAACATACTACGGCCTCATCAATCGCCGAGAATCATGAAACCAGTACAAAATAGACTAATATTGTCATTTACTAGGGTTAATTATAAACGCCGAAGGCGGTCTCGTGGGCGAACTTGCATCTTTGCCTGGCGTTTCACTTGTGCAATCAATGGTTGTCAATAACATACATAATGTTGCGGGCATATTGCGGCTTGGGACCGGCATAGTTGAAAAACAAGCACATGTTTGATAGTGCAAGTCAATCCCTCCCAAAGTGTATTAAAGCTCTAGGTTTAAGGGGGTTAAAGGGAAAGGGGGTGAGGCTACTTACTTTCTGCCGTGGTGTATATAAAAAACAGATCACGCTTATCAAATCAATTCCTCAGCCTCGATCGTTCCTCAGCCTTTCAATCACAATTAATATATATACTTGGATTCACCACTATGCCCTCTGGAGCCCCATCCACATCAACCATGTATACGTACTCCTGGACCGGTACTAATACATCTCAGCAAACTATTTACTGTCCGGTTCCAGATCCTCGGCTAGTTCAACAGTAGACTCGTTAATCTCTTCATCTTTGTGGTGTGCCTTCAAGGACTCCGCCAAGTACTGTGACTGTCTACGAGACGATCGGCGGGCTTGGGATGATTGAGACGATCGGCGGGCTTGGGATGATTGAGACGACCGATTGGTGTGATCCAGTGCGGGCATATCATCATCGAATTCGCGGGCGCTGTGTCCTATACCGTAGACCAGGTACCAGACCAGGCTCTGCACGGGTCGAACAATAAAGTGGTTAGGACATTTCATGCACTGTTTGTGTCGAGCAATTGAGTAGTCAGGATATGTCATGCACTGTATACTGTATTTGTCGAATAGTGAAGTAATTATATATTGTGAGATATTCAAACACGCACACGAGTTCGTAGAGCTATATCTCCGCCACGGGAGAGTGCGAACGCACCGCAAATACCAGCTACAGGCGACCCGTAGTAAACCATGTGCGATCAACAGTCCGGCTAGATGTTGTTCCGAAATGTGATATTTGACAGATTCTCAACTAGAGCACACCGGAAAAAAGCCAAGGACATGTAGTGAACCAGAATATTGAGCATATAATAAAAGTCTGCTTGCTTGCTTGCTTAGGGCATAGAGAAAGGCGGTATCAAGAGCACATTGGCCATAATTACCATGAATCACATACCACTGCAATGACGATAGCGAGATACGCCAAATTTATCCAACTGATCTGTGCCATGAGGAAGAAGTTCAGGTTAATACCGACAACCGGTAGAAGGGGCACTAAAGGCGCATAGAACACTCGGCCTGTTTCAGCCTTACTTTCCTCGACCTCTTTAAACATAAAGGTCATGCCAATGGCCACTAGAAGGGTTGCGGCAATTAAAGCAATAGCTCCATAGAGAACAGCGTCGTTAAGTGTTGAATTATCGACACCGGAGTCAAAATAGCCCTCGAAGTATCCCTTCCAAAGCATGTACTCGCCACTGAAGGATGCAGCCCAAATGAATATCAGACAGCCGGTTATCTGGATAGGAGTACAAACGGTGTTATAAGGACGTGTTATGAACCCTATTACTCCCGGCATCTTGCAATAAACTTATCGGAGATTCTGTTGCGGAAGGAATGGGTTAGGAAAATTGATGCGTGCAATAATACACGACCACGTAGATTGTTATGAGGAATCAAGATAGTGGGCTTGCTTCATGCAGCTGAACAACTTGTGTGAAAAAGTTCCTTTGCACATCTTTAACTCCACACTAAATAGTATTTGGGAGTGTATCGGTGTGTGTGTTGGTGCGGACTTTTGGAACATGGGACAACTGTTGCTGGAGGTATTCTATGCGCATAAACAGATTTTCCGTATAGCAACGCACAATTCCAATACAGTCATCACGCATATGCATATGCGATCTTAAGCTTATGGGCTCAACGCACTCTTATCTGTACAAACATAGTCTGAATATAAAGACACATACACGGCTCTGAATTTACCATACACAAACAGTCTGAATATAACGATTCACAAATAGTCTGAATATAACGATGCACAAAACAGTCTGAACATAACGATGCACAAAGATGCACAAACAGTCTAAATATAACGATGCACAAACAGACTGAACATACCATACGCAAACAGTCTGAATAGGACGACGCACAAACAGTCGAATCACGATACACAAATAGTCCGAGTAGACCCATACATAACCAGTCTGACGATACACATACACAAACATTCCGATTATGACTCTATCGCTCACCTTGTTGTTACCCTCAGGGCCAGAAAGGCGTGTGCAGATAAGCGCACTATTGGTGAGACAGAACGAAACCAGAACACCAAGAGAAATCATATCCCACAGAATGTCAAAGGGCACACAACCGGCAATAATCGACATGGCAGTTCCCGAGATGATTGTACCTGAAATTCATACATAGGAATATATATGAATATTTAGTATCGTTTATATGAGGATAAATGAGATGTCATCATTTTAGCGATCCGCATTGGTAAGCTTTCTTTGACTGCAAACTCTGGCAAAATTGGAGGCTGAAGTATGCACACAATTTTAAAAACCTATAGTAAAAATTGCACACAGCTTGCAGTCTCTTTGTTACTATTTCTTGGCTGGCCTTCATAGCAAAAGTGAGGTGTGCGTATTAAACACTAAACGCAAATAGCAGCTTGTAGACCTACTAGCATTACACATACCCATGGTAAGATTTCCTTTGCTGTTTTCCTTCGCAAAGATGGATGGAAGCATGCCGTCTACCGCCATAGCGGCCATCATCTCCGGCTGAGCAATAAACGCCAGCAGCACAACAATGGGCAGCAGAATAGCCTCACCAAACGAAACGATTGCAGCAGCCCAACTCCAACCAATCAGACGGAAAGCATCGGCAAACGAAGGCGAGGTGGAGCATTGCACGGCTGCGTGATGGGATGAGAGAGAAAGAGCGCGCATGTGTGTGGGGAGGGAGGGGGGGGGGTACTTTGAAGTAGTACTACTGTATATATATATATATATATATATATATATATATATATGTGTGTATATATGTATACATGTATACATGTACATACATATATATATATATATATAGCTGAAACGAAGGAGAAAGAAGGATAACAACAGGAGGAACGTAAACATGTGCACGAGACTGGCTCATAATAACATATCTTGTTGTTTGTGTATAAATGCCGTTGACTCGCAGTATAATACAATGGAATATACCGTGTCAGTGAGAACTAACAATCATTTCCTGTACGCACACACCGTCATTACATTCAATGGCTGCAACTAACAGGCATTGCAGAGTAGACGGAGATAAACATATAAATAATGAATACTTACATTCTATAAAAAAACTGCGACGTCAGATATTATACTCCGCCCTACGTTCAGTGCACTCTACATGTATAGTATTCTTCGGAGACACAAATTAAATGCGCAACCACGCGCCGTCACACCTATGCACGTAGGTGACAGACACTCTTATGCACCAAAAAAACACATTCATACAATGAATAATGCATGAAGAAACACACTCATACATCAAAGAATGCATCAAAAAACCCATACATTAAAAACACGTCAAGAAACACACTCATACATTCCATACTACGCCACACAGACACATACCATCGGGGTTCTGCTCGTTCCAATCGGGGTGTGAATCGCAGGGGACGATCATACCACTCAGCGACGCTTGGGCCAGACCGGAGATGATCGTAGCCAGCAAAAGCGTACCACCAATAGCCAGAGGCATGGTTTTACGAGGGTTATTGGCACGTCCCGCTAAGCACGCGACCTCGTCGAACCCGATGAAACCAAAGAACAGCTTAGAAGTACCTAGCAACATGCCACCAATGCCGTACGGAAGGAACTCGTCGGTGGATGAGTACGCCTCGGTACCATATCCAGTGGACGGCCACGCGGCAAACCCAGCAATCACCATGAACGCTACCAGGCACACCTGTTTAAACAATACACAAGAAACAAATTGTGCTGGTGAGCATACAACAAAAACTTTTAAATTCTCGGATGTTGGTTGTGTCCACAATTCGCACTGAAAGCAGTATACCGATTGACACTTTTGAGGTCGGCCCCTCAATTATCGCAGGCTTCTTTCAAGACAGTACGGTAGATCCGTCTCAAGAGGGCGTGTCCTATCGAATGTAATTAATTTTGTATCAAGTGCAATTTTTGTGCTTATACTTGTCCCCATAGGATCGTGCACCACACCAACCGGGCTTACAGTCTTGCGCACGTACCCACCATCCCCGCGCGAATAAACCAAGATCTTCAACCGCCCGCCCAAATCAGCCACACATGCCATCGCACGTGTTTTTCAGCAAACAAACTCGCCAAGCACATACCTTTGCCACTGTGAAGAGGTTGATGACGATTTTACCCATATTCAAGCCAAACGCCAGCACCACCGTACTCAGACCCATGACCACCACAGCGAGCACGTCAAAGTAAGCATCCATATCGGCCGTGTCCGGATCAGTGTACCAGAAATGAAGGACGTCCAGGTCGGCATCTGTGTACGACTCAATCGTCTCTATCAATTTGGAGGACCAACTACGGGCAACACCAGCCGCAGAGATACCGTACTCGAGGGTTAGGCACACAGCACCGATCATGGCCATGGCCTCGCCCAGAGCAAAGTACGAGTACGCATACGTTGATCCTGTGTGTGTGGTGGTGCGGTATTGTGATAGAATGCATTGTAATAAGTGTGAGAATTGTGTGTGGTATTTTAGATTGAGGCCAGTGTTATCTGTTATCGCATGTCGTGTTCGAACAACTGCAACCAAACGCGTATCGATAATTGAACGGACACGAGTGAGAACGAATCTGATATATGACACTCGGGGATCGCATGTAACCCTGTGTCTCAGGTGCGTTTGTGTATGTCGTATAGTACAATTTCTTACTGTGAACAAGGTATCGTATCTGAGCAGCTCTTAATTGGCAAAGCACGATATCCCGGACGCATATAGCGATGGGAGGGATACCCCTTCCATATGCACTAATATGAATCGCATCAGTCGAGCGTGATGTACGAGACAAGGGCCAGACAGCAGACCATGTACCCACCTGAAGTTGGAACTCGCGAAGAAAGCTCCATATATGAAAAGCCTGACATCAAACAGACCAACCCTGCGAGTAACCAGGAAACCACAGCAGAGGGACCAGCGACCGTCAAGACATCTCCTGTGAGCACAAACACTCCGCTACCTACAGTGCAACCTACACCAATGCACAGAAGATCGAACAGCGACAATTTCACGCTATCATCTTCTTCTCGGCTTAATTCCTGAGCCTTGATGATGTGCATCTACAGGACAATGCGCAAAAAAAAATGTGCACAAGTGGTTCACTTTCGGTCATGATAGTACAGATTTATCAATGGCAATTCCACGTACATATACGAATGAGATTTGCTCACAGCATATACATACGACTACCGCCAGAACAGAACATCACATCTAGCGCAGATTGGCAAACGAACAGAAGTATCGGATGAGATGTTCAAACACATAAAGCTACAGCCACTAAGGCAATTTGAAAGGTTTCTCATATAAACTGCTGACATTATAAGGCTTTAATACTGCTACAAATGATAAGTTTGCAAAGAAATAGATATGTATCTCTCACTCTACGCAGCTCGAGTCGAAAAATTATGATAACAACCTGTAAACACATCTCTCGACAAAACAGTGCGTTAGGCTATCGAGCGGATTGCAAGCGAATTGAATAAACAGCCTTTTGCTATTTAGAAATACTATCAGTGTTGGTAATAGAACAGCCTATAATGGTACTTTACACATCGGGGTTCGAATCCTCTGTACATACATTCTATCCGCAGAAGGAGTTATATATAGTTTGAGCACGTGTTTGATGCACCTTCCAAACACTCCACCGCACGCTGTAACTTGGTACGTGAGCGAGGTGTTCAATATCTAAAGCATAGTGTTTTGGTGTGGACAGTAGCTGGGTGAAAATCAATCGTTGCATTAAAACTACAAGTAGTACAAATATTAGCTATATCTTGGACAGGTAGGAACAATTCACCAGGTGACGCCATATAAATATCAGATGCATGCCAGATCAATGGCATATTCATCAGTGCAAGTCCTGATTTATGGTGATTATCATTCTAAACACGGAATCAGTACCAATATCAAATCATACCGGCTTTTTACGCCCCATTTTGGCGAATATCTCCATTTTGACTTGATTTGTGCTTATAGACCCGGAGTGTCCTTGTTACTTTGGTGGTTGAACGGTGTTTGATACTTCTGAGGCGTGATTGCGCGGTATTAAATTCAAATGATGTTTACCGCACAAATTGTATTTTATAGTGCAAAGAACTAGTTCACGTATATCAAATCTTTCAAATTAGACACAAGGATGTGACAGCTATTTACATGTATAGGCCATATTTATTTACCCGTCCAATTACCAATACGTACGTGGAAATACGTGACATTTACATAAATATTTCTCACACATAGCCTCCTACTTCTGAATATACAAGAGTGAAGGCTAAATAAATATTTGTGTAAATAGTATTAATTTCTACGGAATATACTTTTTTTTCTTTCCCCCCCCCCCCCCCAATATTATTACTATTTATTTCAAAACAAAATAGATTATTGTTTATTTGTTTGTTTCATCCGAACTTCACGAAGCAAAACTTTATGAAATAAATATGTATTTGCTTTCTTTTTGTATTTGTTTTTTTTTATAGAAACACAACCAAAGTCACGACTTTTTATTTTAAATTGATTACACATTGGCAGTGTGGGAGTGCGTGGACGTGTTTCGATCATATTGAATTCAGCACAATTAACAAATAAGGCAATTTTCAATTTTGGCAGAACATGGATTCGGAATTGGCGGTTCACAACTTCACATCTTCATGGCTTCAGGCCTTCCGCCTTCGGCAGTTCAATCTTCGGGATGCCCTTCAAAAGACAAACCCCCCCCCCCACTCAAAATGAACAATCAACAACAAATCACATCATTTTTAAAGTATTGTTGAATAAAAAACGTCGCTGCGAACAAATGACAAATAACGTGTTTTCATAGCCTACTAAAAACTATTTTATTTTTGCTTTTGTTTTTAAAAAATAGAAGACAGACAGAAATTGTAAATTGTAAATAAATATTTTTTCTAAAATACAATTGGAGTTTTGGACTCCCTATTTTGTTTTTTTGTTTTCTAAATTATGAACAGTACATATATATGTATTTGGGTGTTGTAAATATTTGTGTGATCTTTTTAACAAATTAAAAACGAGGAAAAAAAACAGGTTCCAAAACACCATTTTTATTTTGTTTTTTTATATGTATGGACCAAAAAAGTATTTGTTGAAACGGTTTTAGCGTGTAAGTTTTAACGTTCTCGTTGTTGGTAGACATCATGTAGTCATGCACGAGCGCACATACACGAACAACCAGTCGGAATCTGTGCACCTAAGGCTAACACTTGTTTTTACTATGAGTCTTGTGTCTGATTTTCATCCGGGGGTCGATATTTATGCGCCCACGTAAGGCGACTTTAGCCTAAGTACCGAACTATTAAGCGTATACACCGCAAAAATATATCTTTACCGATACTACAGTTAAGTATCAGTTCTCGGTAGATAATATACACCTATCACCTGAAATAGAATGCTCAGACCCTGTGAGCGTGAATTCGTGGATCCTTACATCTCTGAATATTATAAAAAATATATCGTTTCATAGCATTCTAAACTATACAAGAAGAAGAAAAGAAGGCAATGTAAAGTATGATCGTTTGGTTGCACAATTGCACTGTAGTTCAACAATGTTGAATTTGGGTTTGTCCCATTCTGTTGTAAATTTCAGGTCCAAGGGATTTTGTCCTGTTCTGTGACTTCATTAACCGCAATTTCTTTTTAGAACATATAAAATTCAAATAATTTCACTCGGTACATATTTTTAAATACATAGGAATACTAGGACTCGGGCTTTAATAGTTTTATAGTGACGGGTGTCGTATATACAAAGTTCTACCGTGTAGAATATCAGAGCGTTTTTGGAGCTACATATTCTGTAAAGTCACTACGTAAGGTGTCCTGGTATTTATGTATTTAGGTCTTTTTGTTTCTTTTTTCAAAAATTAAGACCCAAATCTACAAAATTTGTTCCCACAGATACGATGGAAAAAGGGGATATATTTGGCATCTCATTGAAACTTGAGGATTTTTAGCACTATGTTTAGCCAATGATATCCTGAGAAGAATGATATATTCAACGTGTCCTACTTCCCACTAGAAGGGTGTACATGGGCCAATTCCCATTTCTAGGTCATTTTATCACCATTTGTTCATGGTACACAGCCCAAGGGATATTTATTTTGTTGTTAATTCCAAGAAATAGGCCAAAACGCTTCATAGGTGACAACTTCGGTCTGCGGGGTACAAACAGCTGTCTTTTGATGTCTTCCAACAAAAGATTCGCTAATTTACTTCTATTCACTTGGATTAGTTAAAATGGGATCTACCTTGTCAATTTGTACCAGAGTAATTTGTTTTTCAACCCAATTAGTTTTTTTTAAAAGGATGATGATTCCTATTTTTTAACTCACTTGAAAAAGGTACATTTAAACAGTTAAACACATACATAGTTAAAAATACATAAACACTGCTGTGATCTTTTTTCCATATTGTTTTAAAATAAAAAGCCAACCATTTTTATTTGTTATGAAGTAAGAGTTGAAGAGAGTGTGTGAGTTGTGACTGTGTGTGTGTGTCTGTGTGGCATATTTACTGTCATACAGTACTACAGTGGCACAGTACAACTCTGGCACAGCCGCGCGGCGCACAAGCGCCACGAGACTGATGAGAGTGATGATTGGACAGATTGATATGAAATCAGAAAAGCAAACACAGTTGCTATTTATTTTTTTACTATGACCATTTTTTTAATATGTATTTACAGTTTTACACATAGCCTCTCCTAAAAATACAAGGCTATGTATGATTTATACATATTGTTTGTTTTTGTGTGTATTTAAAATAAAAACCCAAAATTCTTTTATGGTGCAGTCGGATATAGATCACCCTACATGGACCTTTACTTTTTTATATTTTTCTACGTCAAAAAATTGGAATTTTCCAAAACAAAATATACAGTGTGATTAGGATTGTGTAAAGGAAGCCATTGCCGTAATAATAATAAATTCGGCCATTTTGATGAGGCCAAATATCCGACCATGACAACCCAAGTGGTGGCCAATATTTTGATTGGTGACTGTCGGCGGCCAAACATTGAAATACTCTAAAGAAAACGCTTCAACGAGTATCAACAGAGCTATACGCTATCGCCGTCTTCTAAAAGAAACATATACGCAGAGATTGTCGAGAGAAGGCACTCTCTAAGGACACGACTGCAAAGTTTGAACAGATTTTTGCCGAGAGTTTGACACAGAGGGAACACTTAACGTCACAAGAGTATTAGGGTTGAGAGTTTAGGGTTTACTACCTTAGAGTTCATACTGAAGAAAGACTTCATGATTATACCATCGGTTCCTAATCAGATCTTCTTTGCTTTCAATCTCATTCTTCTGTCTGTCGTTGCTGACGCACCTGTATAGACAGCCTCCCATCGTTTGTTCAAATACTTCCCATCATCTAGTAATCTAGCAAAACAGCCACGAAAGTTTCTTCCCTATCAAAAGTATTATCCTCATTTAATCAACTCTATATCATCAGGTTCAAAGTCATCATCTTGTATAACTGCAGTAAACTTATTCGTTTGTCTGTCTCCTAAGTTTTTTCTCTTCCCCCGGCCACCACTCAAGTGCCTTGACCTGTTCGACATGCTTATCACAACAGAAACTACCAATTATAAGTGTGCACACATTACATCAACAAATAGTATAGTAATAGTACGGCTACTTCTCATATTTAATGTTTTCTAAACTTTGTGAGTGAAAAACATCTCATTGGAGACCTTTGGATATTTGTCAGGTATTTCGGGGTATTAAATTGTACCATAATCGACCCTAAAAGAGACTGATATCGACCCAAATAGTCTATATATAAACAGCATATCCAAAACGGATTTTTTTTTTTGAATTTTGGTTTTTGGTGGAGCTCGAACCAAACATTTTTTTTTCTCGAAAAAGTGTCCGGGTGATTTTCAAGAGCAGGTCAGTACAAGCCGTTTCCGCTATCTAACTCATCGATAGGGACACTACTTCGAATTCCATGCTCTGCCAAAGTCTGGGTTTGAAGTAAGGTGATCTAAATATATCCGACTGCACCATACATTTTATTATTTATTTTTGTTTGCTTTTCTTTTTTTTCTTTTTTTAACAAAAAACCAAATTCAATTAAACGGTGACGGCGGCTGATGACGGATGGCCTGACTTCATCAGTGCTGCAATATAGATTTATTGTGTTTTTTTTTAAACAAAATTCTAAAAAACAAATAAACAGAAACAAATATATAAATATGTATTTTTAACAGTTTTACACTGGGTATATCAATATATGCCACTCAGGCTCGTTGTGTTGCCCAACACCGCTCAATATACCGCAACATGTCCAGTGAGTTGGATCAAAAATCAGGTTCTCCAATATTGGCTTAGATGTGACTCCACGAATCGAATCCCGTTTGCTTTGAAGCGAAGAAGGTAGCACGCTAGATCTTCTCCCTCCAGTAGATGCTATAGTGCGCGATCTGTGTGTCGTTTTTCCTGTGGGATCTCTGCTATCATGGCCTGTGTATGGTAACGAACCGATGACAGACATAGTCTTGCGCGCTCGGCTCTGTGAGGTGGGCCCCGCATCCATACTCGAAGTGCTAGACACGGGGATCTCCTCGAATTTGTCGTCGCATACGTCTTCGTTGTCGTCTTCGTGTCTCTTTCTCAATCGACGCATCCAAGTGGGCTTAAAGCCTTTATGCTTGCTGTGCTTCGTATCACTGTCCCCGCGGTCGCAGTGAATAGACGCCACACTATCTGAATTCAGGCTGGAATCGCCATCAGTAGGGATCAATGACTGCTTCCGGCGAATAGGTGCGGATGAGGCGGTATTCTGAGGGCGATCGACAGCTAGATGATTAGTGTCTGACTCTTTCTTGCTCAGCACTGATCCCCGGCGTGTTTTCTTGCGATATTCGATGTCGGAGTTGACTTCCAGCAAATTGGACGAAGTAGTCGTACTAGGCTTGCGCTGAGTAGATAAGGAAGGCACTGATATTTCAGGTGACAATATGACATTCTGGCTTGGGTGGCGATGAATGGACGGGGATCTGGAAATACTGCTGACGAATTGGCACTCATCAATGTCTTGTGATTCGGCTGCAACATCCAACTTGAGCAGAAGGTTCTCCCCAATGATTGTCGCAATGTCTGGAGTAATAATAATGAGAAGCATGGGTTCAGTGAACCATGCTGGCTTTAGTATATGTATGATAGTACGCACGCTAGATATCAGATATTATGCTAAATAATCTCTATCGCACGACAAACGCATAGTCGAATGGGCAGGCTGAGAAGTTCATTCCTGCCCATTAACGTTATACAATTAAAGCTAGTATCCAAATGATTATTCACTCGTACCTTCAGCCATGTCGGCAGACAGCATAGACATCAGCTTGTGTGTATTCCTGGATTTAGTGGACTCACTCTTTGTATCAGATACTACGCTTGGGTTCTCTGACATGTTGAGATTATGTGGTGAAGAACAGCTGCCTGGTTCGGCAATCTCATTGATCGAGCTTACACATTTTACATTGTCGGTTCTGCTCTGTCTGGAAGCCCGCCGACGAATCAAACCTCCACTTCCAGCAGTGTCGGGCTCAAAGCTGCTGGGACGTCTCAATGAGCCCTCAGTACTATGGGACTCACGTCTTCTAGGCGATAGTGGTGACTTGGGGCCTGCAGTCACTTCGCACTCACTAGACGCATCTGTCTGTAGTGCGCTAATGAACTTCTTCATGGCGGATTTTTTTAATGACCCGTTGTTACTGGTTGTAGAGTCCATCGACCGCTCACTAATCGATTTCTTCTTGCTTCTACGTCCCACATGCTTACGGGTGCGTGTTTCTATATCTGATTTGTCCAAGTCATCAATGCCTGGCGTGATAGAGAGAGATTTTTCATTTGCAACTGATGTTGTCGAAACATTGTGTCGCCTCGGGATTTTGGTAGACTGAGTGCGACGCAAGGGCGCATGAACATCGGTACTGGATGTGGTGACTGCAAAACCCGCTTTCCTACTTAGGGAGAGCGAGCGGGGTTTTGTAGACATAGCTAGCCAAAATCAATTATGCTCAGGTTGCATATGCTGGAACAAAGGTTGAATACCGTAGTCGCACTACAAAACAACAAATACAATATGTATTTGGTGTTGTATATAGTGTGTCTGTGTGTGTGTCTGTGTGTAGATGTACTTGTCTAATAGAAAAGCAACCATCCCAGTCATTACTTGTCATAGTGAAGGGGGACCCATAATCTTCAAGCAAGATGGTTTGAGAACAGTGTGTTCTCTACCTGTCACTGAGTCAGTCTGTCACAAAATATCGCAAATACCAAAATTGGAACCCTATATTTCGGGCAATAATGAGTTCCAAATACGCTTGTGAAAAAAATCCATTAAAAAATATCGCATACATAGCCTCCTAAAATAAAACCAAATATTTTTTCAAACCAATATCGACCTTGTTTGATTTCGGATTTTGAGTCACCTGTTTTCTAAAATAGTAAATATGTACAAAGTATTTGTTTGGTTTTGTGGGATTTATAAAATATGAAGCCCACCATGCCCTTCTTATCAGTGAAATCTCGAGTCAATTGAGTTTATCACGGGCCGAACCGCACGGACCATGATCACTACCCTTCAGAGTTCAGACCACTGTCGCCCATTCTTGCATACTCACACAATCCTTCATAGGGCAAGAGCAGGCATAGAGAGATGCCGTCGGATACATACCACACTTACTTCGGCACGAGAGCCACCACAGGGTCGTTCGGTGATGGATGTGGGTGGCAATCTGGTTGGAGCAGAACGCCAATCGCTCTGCTAAACAGGGGAAATGCAATACAGGTATCATTGGCTGGTAGCCTTGTTTTTGAGATAAATCAGCTAATACACTATTATTGAAGCGTTTTATGAGAATCTAGCCACCTTTAATGAGCCCATATATAATCCGTCGACGTGAAAACTGAAATTACGCTCCTTGGTGCAATAGAATACAGAGTCAAACATATTAATGCCACAAATGTATATTTATGTATGTATGGATGTATGTATATACATTTATGTAT